AAATGGTAGTTTTGTTTTTTCTTTTTAATCTGTAAACCATGTATTACTTTTCTTTATTATGTCACTGGAACCTCCACTATAATGTTGATTAATTGCAGTGATAGTGGAAATCTTTAACCTTGTTTCTGATTTTAATGGGACTGCTGTTAAGATTTTACCACTAAATATAATATTTGCTGTAGGTTTTTGGTAGATAGTTTTTTTTTTTCTTTTGAGACAAAGTCTTGCTCTGTCGCCCCGGGTAAAGTGCAGTGGAGCTCACTGCAACCTCAAACTCCTGGGCTCAGGCTATCCTCCTGCCTCAGCCTTCTGAGTAGCTGGGACTACAGGCATGTGCCACCATGCCCGGCTAATTTTTCCTATTTTAGTAGAGATGGGGTCTCACTCTTGCTCAGGCTGGTGTCAAACTCCTGACCTCAAGAAATTCTCCTACCTCAGCCTCCCAGAGTGTTAGGATTACAGGCATGAGCCACTGCACCTGGCCTGTTTAGCTTTTGTGTTTCTTCTTGAGACAGTTTTGGTTATGGTTTTCTAAGAAACTATTCATTTTATCTAAATGATAGAATTCGTTGGCATGAAGTTCACACTATTATATTTTAATTTCTTGCTAGAGATTTGTCATAGTATTTTTCTTTTTTAAAAAACCAATCTCAACTTTGTTGATCTCTTTTGATCTTTGTTTTCCATTTCATTAATCTTTATTATTGTTTTCCTTTTATTTTCTTTTTTCTGCTTTTTAAAAATGTTTTCTTATTGATACATAATATTTATACATATTTATGGGGTATGTGTGATGTTTCGTTACATGTATAGACTGTGTAATGATCAAGTCAGGGTATGTAGAATATCCACCACCTTGAATCTCTGTCATTTCAGTGTGTTAGGAACATGTCAAGTCGTCTCTTCTAGCTATTTCGAAATACACAATACATTGTTGTTAACTATAGTCATCCTATTCTGCTGTCAAATATTAGAACTTATTCCTTCTATCTAACTGTATGTTTGTACCCATTAACTAACCTCTCTTCATCCTTGCCCCCACACCCTTCCCAGCCTCTGGTTATCATCATTTTACTCTCTACCTCCATGAGATCAACTTTTTTAGTTCCAACATGTGAGTGAGAACATCAGTATTTGTCTTTCTGTGCCTGACTTATTTCACTTAACATAGTGACCTCCAGTTACATCCATGTTGCTGCAAATGACAGGATTTCATTCTTTTTTATGGCTGAATAGTATTCCATTGTGTATATATAACACATTTTCTTTATCCATTCATCCATTGATGGACACTCTGGTTGAGTCTGTATCTTTGCTATTATGACTAGTGCTGCCATAATCATGGGGGTCCAGGTATCCCTTTGATACACTGATTTCCTTTCCTTTGGATACATAGCTAGTAGTGGGATTGCTGGATCATATGGTAGTTCTGTTTTTAGTTTTTTGAGAAATCTCCATACTGTTTTCCATATGGCTGTACTAATTTACATTCCTACCAACAGTGTACAAGAGTTCCCTTTTCTCCACATCCTTGCCACCATCTGTTATTTTTTTGTCCATTCTAACAGGGTAAGACAATATCTCATTGTGGTTTTGATTTGCATGTCTCTGATGATTAGTAACATTGAGTATTTTTTCATATACCTGTTAGCCATTTGCATGTCTATTCAGGTCCTTTGTCCACTCTCTAACGGATTATTTGGGTTTTTCCTGTTGAATATTTTGAGCTCCTTGTATATTCTGGATATTAGTCCCTTATCAGATGAGTAGTTTGCAAATATTTTCTCCCATTCAACAGCTTGTCTCTTCACCCTGTTGATTGTTTCCTTTGCTGTGCAGAAGAATTTTAGTTTAATACAGTCCCTTTTGTTTTCATTGCCTGTGCTTATGAGGTCTTAGCCATAAAATCTTTGCCTAGACCAATGTCCTGGAGTTTTCCCTCTGTTTTTTCCTAATAGTTCTACAGTTTCAGGTCTTACATTTAAGTCTTTAAACCAGTTTGAGTTGATTTTTGTATACAGTGAGAGAGAGGGTTCTAGTTTCATGCTTCTGCATATAGATATCCAGTTCCCAGCACCATTTATTGAAGAGGGTATCCTTTCCCCATTACATGTTCTTGGCACTTTTGTTGAAATCAGTTGGCT